AGATTGCAAGGGGGTCGGGAAACCCACACAAAGACAGAGTCATGGGTGTGCTTTCCTCAGGGAATGACACTATTTCAGAGGCTACAAACTGCCTGCTTACAGGAAAATGAGACAGGGAGACGCAGGTAGGTATGTGTGGGGAGAGACCATCCAATCCTGCGACCTTTCTTACACCACTGAAGAGAATGCCAAAGCATAGGTAGATAGGGTGGCCTACCTCACCCACTCTCACACACGGGTCCAGCCATCCCCAAACGTGGTATAACCTGGCACAACAGGCCATCCTGTCCAAGAAAGCAAGAGCCAGTGTCGTGAAGAGACCAAGGCATTAATTAGGCTCTCAGGCAAACAAATGACACGGTCTCAATATCCAGGCTGCAAGAACACCTCCCAGGCCAAACGGACAAACGCTACATGGTTTCAGGGCTTTCCTGTGCTGTTCTGGCTGTTAGGCCCAAGATAGCCATGATGATTAAGATAAAACACAATCTAATACAGCTATTTATTTCAATTTAATTTTTTCTGGAAATGGGGCCCAGCTATGTAGCTCAATGCAGCCTCAAAAACAGAATCCTCCCGTCTCGACTTCCCAAGAGCTAGGATGACAGACATGCCACATTCACCTTAATGCTAATTTAATCTTATTTTGGGGATTAGTCGTTGTCTGAGACGGAGTGGCTCTAAGCAGCCCTGGCTATTCTGGAACGTGTTATGCAGATCAGGCTAAGTAACTCACAGAGATTCACCTACCTCTGCCTCCCAAGCGCTAGGATTAAGACATGCACCAGGTAATGCTAGCATTTTAAATGATGCTCTAAAACACTCACTTCTTCAATATCTAAACAAAACCAGCATTTACATGGAGCATTAACTGTGTGATTACAATGTAGGAACTGAAAATTTAAAGGCAAACATTAGCCTTCCAGCCATGACAACCCCCAGAAAAGAAGCCTCTCACCAAGGACCTCCTTCATCCCTCAACACAAGAGGAAAGGAAACACATGAACCCAGATTCTTTCCTCACGGATGTGAAATCCCAACATGCAAATTGTACAAATACAAATTGTAGCCCTGTGTGTTAACTGTTCCACTGTCTTCTGTCAGCATACAGAAAGATAGTCCTTCAGGAGGAAGCATACTAAAAGTACCCTGAATCAAGAGTGGAAACTACCCCAATAAACACATTCTGGGCATTAAATAAATAAGTACATAAATATATAAACTTAAGTATAATTTCCATAATCTAACCACATCATGCATGGCTATGCAATGACTTTTACACCCATTATTTAGTTCGGACAAAAATATACACACCCTCTAAAGAACAAAGCACACCTGTTGGAGCTGGCTGAAGTAATATTAGTGTGAAATGGATTTACACACTCAGAGCTGTGCATCTCCTACAGTCTGGCCACTTATTTTCTACTCGCAAACACAAGTTTCAACATAAGACTACTCTCTCCCTTATCACACGGACTTCTGATGCTGAACAGATATGGGAGAGAAGCTACCACCAAGAAAAAGAAGTGTTCACAAAGCTCAATATTACATTTAGTGGGGTCATATACTCTGCCTCTGCTTCTGTCTCAACCCAAACCTAATTCCTGGCCCCTACACAGGAGGAAATGGAAGCCACACACTGGAGACGTGAGAGCTGGGGTTGGAAGCTCACAATCACGCTCTTTCTGACTCAGCACCTCAACAGGCTCCCTTCTCAAATGAGGCTGGCTTGTTAGATCATGAACTCAACACTCTGACAGAGGAGGACACCCCTTGACTATGGCTGGCTGGAAAGACACCTCAGACTGGCTGTGGTCTACGGAGTCAGTCACTCTCTGAGACCCTGGGAAAAACCCTGACCCATCAAGACACTACAAAATGTCCAGCAAGAGTTAAGAGTGTGATGCCTTAAATCACAATGTGCAAAATGATCTTCCTACCCACTCTGAATTCAGCTCCACTGGTCTCTGGAGCTGACACGCGCAAACAACTAAAGCTTCCGACGATGGGACCTGCTGGGTGACACCAAGGACACGGGGACAATTGCTTCTGTACATCTCTCTGCAGCTTGAGGTTTTGGTTAGCATTCTACACGCTTAGTCTTGTAACTTGCTTGCTTGTTTGAGACAGGGTTTCTCTGCAGCTCTGGAACCTGTCCTAGACCTCACTGTCTGTAGCCCTGGCTGTCCTGGAACTTCCTAGACCTAGTTGTCCTCAAACTCTCCCAGAGATCCGCCTGCCTCTGCCCGAGCGCTGGCATTAAAGGTGTGCGCCACAATCGGTGGCTCGTAATTTTTTTTAAAGATGAAAGTGATTATGTTGGTCAGACAGTCAGCAGCTGATATTAGTAACCAGAGTGGGAGCGCACCAAGGATAATGACACGGTGGCAGTGCTCGCCCTGAGAACGCTTCTGCACTAAACTGAACAGCTAATTTATGGGCCATGATAATGTTCCCATTTTACAGTTGAGAAGCCAACTGAGGGGTCATGGGGCAGGAAGGAAGTGGAGCTGTGACCCGAAGACAGAACCCCTCAGGGCAGAGGTGTAGCTCACACTGGTTATGAAAACTCCCTTCCCTAGTTCAGTAATTTCATTCAATTTCTTCCTGGCTTACGATTCACACTTTAGACTGTGTTTTGAAGCTTTCTCAACCTTGTGGACTGATTTAGACTGTATGTTCCTTCTGAGATCCAGTCAGCTAGACCACATCCGTTCTCATCTGCCCACCTCCCTCGACTCCCTGGGTCTTACACACCGAGTCCCTTCGGGATGTCACTTTCCCAGGCTCTTGATCTGGTGTGCAAAGCGGTGGGACAGTTTCTAGGGCAGCCCAGGCGCACCTCTCTCTGGAATCTCTTTTCTCCTCTGCAATCCCTTTCTGTACCATGCGAACAAAATGAGACTGAGCTGAGGGACCAGCCTTCCCACAGCACATGCACACCAGAGAGGACTCCTGCCTGGCTATGCCCAAGGGACCCAGGCAAACATCTGTTCCTGCCGAGTACGATCACAGGGAAGTATGCATATCACTAGGCCTTCAAAAAAAAAAAAAAAAAAACGAACACCCCTGCTTCCAAAGAAGTCTCGTCTGTTCTGCATCACGCCACAGAACCTAAATTGCTGGGTGATCCCTGAAGGAACAAAATAACACAGCCTATGCCAAAAGACAGGCACAGAAACTATTAGAAGGTCAAAAGTGAATGTGGGGCCTAGAACGACCATGTTAGAGAGAGTTAAGAGATGACTGCCCATGGATCACTGCAGCCTCGTGAGGGTTTGAAGTGAGCACACAGCCTCACTAGAGAGCTTAGCAGTTTGCAGAAGACGTGAGTTGGGGACCCAGGACCCCTGTCACGAGACTCACAACATCTTGTACCTCTAGCTCCAGAGGATCCAACAACCGCTTCTGACCACCACAGGCAGTGGACACACACACGCACATACTTCTCCTTGCGCACACACACACGCACACACAAACTCAAAATGAAAACTAAGGGGCTGGAGAGACGGTTCAGCAGTTAAGAGCACTGACTGCTTTTTCAGAGGACCCAGGCTTGATTCCCAGTACCCGCAGGTTGGTTTACAACTATCTGTATGTCCAGGTGCAAGGATTCAATGTTCTCTTCTGGCCTCCTCAGGCACCAGGGTCTCAAGTTGTGGACAGACATACATGCAGGAAAAAGCATTCACATACACAAAATTCAATGTTTTTAAAAAGTCCCACGTATACACAGCACACAGCATTAAAGACGAACTGAAGACTACCTAAGTGCCCTGCAGCTACACAATTAGATACCACCAGGGCAAGGAATGAAGAACGTAAACCACACTGAATAACAGACTTTCACGTACATACCGAGCCAAGTGAGCCACACATAGAGGAATATAAACTGCAGCAGTCTGGTCATGATTTTAAAGACAAGTAAAACTTGGCAAAGACACCAGCGGTCAGGACACAGCTATTCTTGGGAGCGCAAGGGCAGGAGAGCTGCGGCACCAGCGGCTGTTAGTGGAGATGCAGCTCACTCAGAGGGATTCACCTGTGACCCTGGTTCCCTGAAGCCACCTAGTGAGGACACGCTTGGTCACTCTGGGTGTCAAACTTCGAGCCCTCGGGAGGTCAGCTTCTCAAGGCCACAGAGACACAGGGACAGTCACTTCTTAACTCTAACACGGAATAATGTTTCTCCTTCCTTCCTCCCTCCCTCCCTCTCTTCCTTCCTGTCAGGGTTGAGAAGGATCAGAATCACATTTCTGTCAGGATTACAATGCAGGAGGCGCCAGTATACTGGCACACCAACATGCTGGCACACCAGTGTCCTGCCACCACCATGACAGGAATGGCACTCAAACGCTACTGAGGATACGGCAGTCCAAGCCAGACCATGCTGTGTTCACACTCACCATCGGGATGACTGACAGTGTGCTCTTACCCTCAGCAGCCCCCTTCTCTCAGCCGCTGAAGTATCTACTACTCACTGCCTACCTGGTGATGAGGTAGCAGGGTCAGTGCTTGGCATAAAGTAAGAACACAGGAGAACTCACGGAATAAGCTGAACAAGGCAATCAAATGCTGACCACCCCGCTGAAGTTCAGCTACTGTACCACCACCACTTGGCAAGAGGCACGGGGAGAAAGGAGGCCAGTGAGCCCATGAAAACAATTCCTCAGCCTGTGGGGTCACCGAGGGGTCAAGCAGCCTCACTCCTGGGGACAGGCCAACACAGGGTGTGAAGGCAAAGGGAGAAGGAAGAAGGTGGTGCCTTTGATGGGCTACCAGGCCTGTGGTTTCCTGCTCAGTACCAGATGGAGACCAGCTCATGGACAGCCACGGAGACATGTCTAAGCCTGCACACGCCCGTGTCTGCCAGGCTGCTCTCAGCAGTTAGAAGCATGTAAGGAGAGGGTGTGCTGGGAGTTCTCGAATGGGATGTGTAGATCGCTAACTACAGGGATAAGGATGTCAGAAATGAATGACTATGGGGTAAGCCTACTCACTTACAAAAAAACGAGTTCAACGCTGATTTTTCTCAGCTCGTCCAATCTTGCACGCCCTTGGCAAACTGATCCACAGAAGATCTGCACTGAGAAGAAATAAAATTCATGTTAAAACAAATTTCAGATCATAGCCCAGTGGGAAAGGGGGCTGCGGTGGAAAACTGCTATATACCCAAAGCACATAAAGCAATATGACAGGAGTTATGAAAAATAAAAAATCTATGAAGGACTGCCTTCCACCTGATCCCTTTCGCACACCCAGCACCTCCTTGTCTGTCCCTGTGGCTCCTTGCTACTCTGTGCACTCCAGCTACAAACAGCCCCAAATAATCCTTAAAGATGGATGCTCTGCTAAAACCATCACGATTAACTGTCATCACCAAAGTAGTCAACACATGGGGGGTGCTCCATGAGCAGTTGTTGGGCAAATACATGAATCATAGTTTTAGAATACATTTGTTAGTCTATATCTGCTCAGCTATTGGTTCTAGGACCCCCTGCTAGAGACCAGAATCTCAGGATGCTCGAGGTCCTTATATAAAAGGGCCCAGAACTTGTGCATGGCGCACACTTGCCGTTCTCTATACGCCAAATCATGTCTAGGTGCCTGGAATGCTTATTACTGTGCAAATATTGCGTAAATTGTCACTGCGCTGTTTAGAACACACCCCATGTGGGGCCACATAACTGAGCGCAGAGTCATGAAAACTCTGGCAGCAATAAAAGGTTTCAGAATGTACGATGACCAAAATCCAATTCAAATTCAAACACATAACAAATCTGAATGTTTCTGGCAGTTCAGGGTGTTATATGACTCCAGTCTTGACAACGAATACATTGCTCATTCTTAGTGCCAAACACGGCCTCACAGGAAGGAGTGCCTGTAAGCACGGACTGAGACACCTCAGCTCGGGTTCAAGATTGTCTTTAATAAAATCAACTTCTTCTAATTATCACACACACACACACACACACACACACACACAGCTTGTTTAAGGAACTTCCTCAAACACATGCCCACCTCCAAACTCTGCATGTATGAACGTCTACAGAGGCAGAACAGTCACTCTAAAGCCGTGCAGTTCGGGGGTTTTACACTTCCACCATTAATCACATGCTTATTTATTTAATAAAAATTAAGAATAAATTTTAGGCCAAGAAAGCAGTTTGGAAACATAAGCACCTTGGTGTAATTATCTTTTCTGGTTTTCTCTGTGTAATGTTTTGCTGCTGTAGTTCAACTGTCTTTCACATTAAAAAGTTTCCTTTCAAAGATTAAAGTTTAAAAGGACTATTGTATGTTATGAACTGCAGAGTTTTTAACCGTTCATACAAAGGCTTCTGTTCTTGTAGAAGTATAATGGCTCAATTATAAAAACAAAGACTTTTAATATATTCTTCCTACCATTCCACAGCACAGAAGTAACAAATTAGTATTTCTAGATCGTACTGTGTTAGAATGTTGATTTTTTTTAAATTTCTGTTTGAATTGCTTGCTTTTCATTTTTTGACTGTTAAAATAAATTTTGACAGGATTAGAACACAATTTTCAAGTTTTTCATAAAAAGTCCTAAACACATTTCCACTGTTTCATTTCATATATTTATGCAAAGTAGCATTCTCAACACTGAAGATTATAAAGTCATAACATTTTTGAGTAGTAGAAGCAGGAGGGTTACAAGTTCAACACCAGCCTATACTACTTCACAAATTCAGGCACCCTGGGCTGTGTAAGAACCTGTCTGAAAATAAAACACTAACCAACTGAAAACGTTAACATGCTCAATGTCCTGCAATGTCATATTAGTGTGTATAGGGAATAGCACACCCCCAACAAGACACACACTGACACAGTAATCTCAGGAGCCAAGACCAGCCCCAGCTGAAGGTATCTATTTATTTCTCTCCTCCTCTCTAAGAGCTCCAGAGGAACAGGGATCTAACACTGACACAGAACGCTTCACCGGCAAGGACATTTTAGGCATGAATGGAGGTGTAGAACGATCTTTAAGGAGTTTCTCACACCCCACAAAGTCACATCAAGAAAGCATCTGTCCGTTTTGCTTTTCCTAAAGACAGTTTCATAGGCATACTTCAGCAACTGGTGGTGTTCATACAGACAAGCCTTGCTTTCAGATCGAGCTGCACTCCAAAATGAAAATTGAACTGACAATCAATTTTCTCTTTCTAAAATATTTCGATCCCCTGCAGCTGGAGTTCTAAGAGGCTGTGTGGGCTGTGGGAACCTAAGGAGTCCTCTGCAACCATAGGATGAACTTTCCCCACTGGGACCTCTCTCCAGCCCCATAAGCCATTCTCAGAGTCACCTTCTAGGGAGCACAGCTGGAAGGTGATTCTGAGAACAGAGGCAGGAGTCAGTGGATGTGTGACAGTGGGCAGTATGTAAAACTGTGTTAGATAGAAGGTGATAGAGAGATAGACAGACAGACAGACAGACAGAGATCCCCTTCCACAACTTGGTTAAAAGTGACTCATTGAGTTGCTTATGAAAAGACTGAGATAATCAATACAAGTAATCACAATAAATGTTAAGTGCAATGAAAGTGAACAACAATGAGCATTTCAACCAGCGTGAAAAATCCAATGAGCCAACACACACAGTGAACTGAAACACGAAACCCAATCTCCCCATCCTCCCTCTCCTTTCTAAAACATGGTACTGGGGAAGGGATCCAGGCTCGTGCCAGGCAAACCCTCTGCACTGAGCTACAGCCACAGCCCCATCTCTAACGGATCCTTTCTGGGAAAATAGGAGTTCCAGCCTAGGAAGACTTCTCCTTTATATCCTACCCGGTCTCAAGCATTTCATCAACACTGCAGAACTGCAGGATGGGAAAGGCAGCTGTGACAAAGAGTAAGACATAATGATTCCCCTACATCAGTGACTGCTGGGTCCCACCGCCACACCAATGACCTCTCTGCTCAACACACAGTAAGGGTTCTGGTAAGAGAAGAAAAATATACTTATGTTCTCTAACACCCACTTTAAAATATCCAAAATGCAAATGGGGTCACAAGGAAGTTAGGCGCTGCCTGAACCCACTCCAGAGGAATTCTCTCTGGATGGAGGGGTGGCAAGGGATCCAATCTGGCCCTCAGCACAAAGCTCTGATTATCTGGCCCAGGCAGGACTGAATCCATAGAAACATTGATAAACACTAATCATTAGGTTTTTGGGTTTCCCTGGGTCAAAGATGGTCTTTGTTGTACAGGCTCAACAGAATGCAGTGGACCTTGGTCACTTCCTCCGACACAGACCCAACCCCTCACAGAAAGGCCCCCTGGCAACTACAATTTAAAAACAAGAGCTCGTTATTAAACTAAAAAATAAGAAATAAAAGATCCACACCCATACACACAGCCTGGGAGAAAAACCCTCAGTGTACCGACAAGCACAATCACAGACCGTTTTCTGTTTGCCCCACAAACCCTCTCTATATATATAGAGATGATAGAAGGAACACTGTACATCTGTGTCCACTGAATAAAATAAACCCTGATCCTTTCCACAACCCAGGTTCAAATTCTAAGAAAATGCTCCAAGCCTTTAAATAAGAGACTTCTGTGTTGCCTTCAAGGGACACATTCATGACTGTTCTAAAGCCTGCCCTCCCAGGGTCGATGGAAGCAGACACCATTAAAGGATCCACGGCAAGGGTCTGTACATAACCAAACACGGCTTGCCACCTATTTGGAACAATAAAATTTTGCCTGAAATACAATTGTGTCCACGTGTCTATATACCGTCCATAGCTGCTGCCTGCAAGATGCAATGAAGAACTTACTAGAGCAACAGGGACTGTAAGATCCACAGGGCATGAGCTGTTTAGGGTCTACCCCTTTAAGAAAAATCTTGCTCCTCCTCAGATAGGGAACACCAATCCTTGCCCAGTGACACTGCCCGATATCTACCAAACCTGCTCAAACTTTGGCTGCTCTGTTGACATCATTTATGACACACTAATGTTTACTGGGAAAATACCAGATACTGAGAGCTTTATCTTTAGTAAATAAACAAAAAAAAATTAGTCAAGTTAATTGAGACAAAAACTTCAAGCGGGAAATAAACCGGACAAAGAACTGAGGCAGAGAAATTAAGTAACCTGCCCGAGATGGAGTGGTGAATGGGTCAGGATCAGAACCCAGGTGACCCAGCAGTCCAGTTCATATTCTCAATCTCTGCACTAAAATGGCATTGATCTAATGCTAGACAAGCCATAGAAAATGCAATCAAACCTCAAAAGGCTTACTAGTTCTCAGTGTTTTAGCAATACAATAAAACGTCCCTCTTAATTGGATAAGACATCGAAAATAATATAAATGGGACTTCCCTGCAGGTCTGAGTCCTTTCTGATGCCATGGTTAGGCCTAATCTTAGGGTACTAAGGAAATAAAAGTTATCATGTTCTTTACTGTCATAAGTAGTCAAAGAATCAAGCTAATTGCCCAACATCAATCCTAGCATGCGCACTCTCCAGCAAGCCTAGACGGTTCCCAGATTTGTACCCACCTGGTCCCATCATTCCCACAGGACTTCCACCTGGGAGAGGTGGCACAGACACTGGAGAAATTATCAAATACCGCTCTTCATGGCCTAGCAATAGGGGCTCGATGCAGCCACAGCCGCAGCCGCAGCCGCCCATCCATGCACAGGAAGATGACCCCGTCCTGAATCATCCCCACACTTCCTGCCTTCGCTGGGACTTCTGGAGGAAATGTGTCACCTCCGTGTAACCCACTGCCCTTTTGTACTGAAGAGGGGCTGATGACTGAAGGGCATTTGAGAGGCTCCTCCCCTGCCCTTCACTCCCTACCCCACCTCCTTCCCTGGTCCCTATGCAGGCAGAACTGTTCAAGGTTTCACAGACAACTGACTAGCAGAAAGAGCTACCTGGACTGGACCTTAAAGAAATGGGGTGGGGGCTGAATGGTTGCTTCGAAAGGTAGAAGAAAGGTAACACACAGGGTCACGGATTCCAGGGCAAGACAGCCTTGAGTCCAAAATCCTAGAAACCTGTGGCTGTAACAGTGTGTGGAGGAGTTCAGATCAAATACACTAGGCCGGTGTCTAACACGGTTCAAACCACACTGAGAGTGGGCTCTGAAGTCTTATGTAATCACAAACAAAAGGCTGATGTAGTTATCACATGCTCAGAAAGAGTATTCTACAAAGACCGTGAAATACACCGACTCCCTACTGAAACAAGGAAGAGGTACTTGTCACCCCAAGACACCACCACCTACACCCAAGGCATTCTGCAGAAGTAAGCTCTTCCACCAAACCATTAGCTAAAACATGCTTCTGCAAACATGCCTCTCAAAACATGAAGTTAAAACACTCAGGTTCCTATGAAAAGCACATACCCGATTGCATTAGTAAAGTCAGTGACTTCAGCTCACTACTACATAACACTCAGCATGTCAAGAGAACGCCACAAACCAGCAGACCAACCCCAGCGAGGTCCCCACAGAGCTGGAAAAACTCTGTTCTGAATGCTTTTGCGGCTGACCCAATACAGTCCAGACTCCTCCTCTAAATCCTGCTTCCATGAAAGAAGGAAGCATGTAAATTTTGCAAACCCAAGAGACTCCATCACAATTCTAAGGAGGATATAGGCTAAAACATTTCCTATCCAGGTGCCCTAATCACTGATTAAGGCAATAACAAAACGCTGCAAGCCAACTCTACATGAAAGCCTTTACCACCAGAAAAGGCTAGCCCACACTTTTTAAAACCTTACCAATCAAAGCCAACACCAAAGCTTTTCCACCTCCATCTCCTTAAGAAATTTTTACATTCTCTCCTTCTCTTCCTCTCTCTTCCTCCCTCCCTTCCTCTTCACTTTAGCACAGGACAAACTGTTAAACACTTGTACAGCAGAGTAAATAGGAAACTGGCAAAGGTGACCAAAAGTCTTAAATCTGTAATAGCCTTCAATCAGCTTCTACGTTAAACTTCTACGTTAAGCTTATAGCTGGACAGTGATACAGACAGGCGTGTGTACTTCTCACAACGATGCTACCTCTATGAAAAGACGGAGAGGGTTTATATGTCAAACCTACTCACTAATTTTGGTTTGGTTTGGTTTTTTAACTTAAAGTCTCACATAGGCCAGGCTAGCCTCAAACTCACCATCGACTGGCAGCTGGCCTTGAGCTCTTGATCCTTGCTTCCTCTTCATCCTCCCACATGCTTGGATTACGGGTATAAACCCTAGGCCTCACTGTGGTCCACTTCTTGGGACATTCGGTAAGACAGGCCCAGGGGAATTACCGATGGTTTAGGACACGGAAGGTGGACTGGCTAAGTACGTCTTCTTGTCACAGGAACAAGGGAGGATCATGTGCTCTGCTCACAGGAACAGGGGAGGATCGTGTGCTCTGCTCACA